AATGCTTGTATTGGTATTGGACAAACATTAATCGAACGTGGTCATCAATGTTATTTTATTATTACTAATGAAAAATATATAGGAAATTTTTCGAAATTTGGTTTCAAAGAATTATTATTATTGATTAATAATGATGATGATGATGATGATCGAAAAACAACCGAAGAACAAAATGTTGAACCAAAAACATCATCATCAAATCATCCAAATGCCAACGATGAAAAACTTATTAATGAATTGAATACTTCGGGTATTTTATCCGCACGTTCATCATTGGAAAAATTAGATCTTTATGATCGTCATAAAAATAAAGATTATTATGCAAAACAACTTACAATCGATTTGATTAAATGGAATAGCCAAATAGCTAAAATGATTGATGTGGAAAAACCTGATTTAATTATTGTTGATCATATGCTCGTTGTACCATGTATTGCATATGGAAAAATTCCATGGTCATTTTTATGGAGTGCAAATCCAATTCCATTGTATCGATTTTCGAAAAAATTACCACCACCTTTTTCCGGTTTGTTTGTCTTGTTGTCGTTGTTTTTTTTTTGTTGTTTAATCCATTTTTTTCAAAATTTCAAAAGGTTATCCAATCGATGATCAAAGTAAATGGTCAGAATTTTTTGAAGTACTTGAAAATTCTACCAGACCAAGTTTACAATATTATCAAAATTTATTGAACAAAGAATGTGGCTATTTAGAAACTGTTGACCATGAACAATTTCTATTCATATCACCATATCTAAATATTTATGGTTATCCAAAAGAATTAGACTATACTGATGTTATTGAATTACCTTCGAATTTCATTCAATTGGATGCTTTCTGTCGATATGAAACAGAAAAATTTGAATTACCCAATGAATTTCGTTGTAAAATTCAATCAAATGATAAATTAATTTATCTTTCATTAGGTACATTTGGTAGTTGTAATGTTGAATTAATGAATCAAATAATTTTGGCTATATCAACAAAATCAAAATATAAATGTATTGTTTCAATGGGACCATTATATGAAAAAATTAAATTAGCTAATAATGTATGGGGAAAATCTTATCTACCACAGACAAAAATTTTATCATTAGTCGATTTAGTTATAACACATGGTGGTAATAATACAATAACTGAAACTTGTTTGGCTGGAAAACCAATGATTGCAATACCAATGTTTGTCGATCAATATGATAATGCACAACGTATTCAGGAAAAAGGTTATGGTTATCGATTTGATCAAACAAATCAATTTGATCAAATAAAATTTTTATCATTGATTGATAATATTATCAATGATGATGAACAAATGAAAAAACATTGTCAACAAATGGCAAAACGTTT